GTGGAGCTCACCAGGTGTGGCAGGTCTGGGTCAAGGTGTATGACGCTGTGGAGCACCACAGGGCAGCTGGCAGGAACACAGACCCCTTGGCACATGGCACCCTACATGCTTCAGGGCCACTGAGGCTGCTCACATGCCTGCAGCCCAGTGGTCAGAAATGGCTTGGCGCTGCAAGGAAGGGGAGCACATCTGAGGAAAAACTTCTAAGTAGAATACCAACCTTATTAATTAACTTATTATTTATTTGCAATATTGGGAATTAAAGGCTAGGGATTTAGCTCAGTTTCATAAGTGCCTACCTAGCAAGCAAGAGGTCATGAGTTTGATCCCCAGTACCCAAAACAAAAAAACAAACAAACAACAACAAAAAAAACTAAGAATCAAACTCAGGGCCTCATAGTGAACTATTGTCAGAGGCCCTTACAAGCAGCTCTGAGCAGGATTTAAAATTAACTAACTGGTTTTCTGAGTCAACCTCCATGATCACTGGTCCTGGCTGAGGCCTGTGGTGGTCTGTAAAACCAGAGATACCTCAAAGGGCAAGATAAGGTTACAGCTGGTTACCTTGGCTGATAAGGTTACCTTGGCTCCTAAGGTAACCTTAATTAACACTAATTAAGTAGAGACTGCAGTTGTAGGCATCTCACTCCTGCAGTCTCACGCCCACCATAAATGTCCTCATGGAGATAAGTTGGTTCTCTTAAACTGGCTTAATTTACTATTTGGAGAAGTCTTTGAAGTGAGCCTAAGGTCCTGCTCAATTCCTACGCTTTCCTCAGTTTCCCCACTCTTTGTTTAGACCTAATAAATATGGGAGGTCCAGAGGCGTCTTTATCTTTTTTTTTTTTTTTTTTTTTGTATTTTTACCGGTACCAGAGATCGAACTCAGACCACAGGCTTGCAAGGCAGGCGCTTATGCCACTGAGCTAAATCCCCAGCCCCTAGGAGAAGTATTTATCTTAGCCCCAGAGTTTCGAAGTCGTTAAAGGGTTTTGATCCTCCTGGAGCCCTAAAATCATACCACTTGTCTCATTTAGTTAAGTCTTCTCTCTCTGTACATTCGTTTGGGAGATGGGGATCTAGGTCAGGATGCGATGAGCTACATCCGCAGCCCTTCTTGTTTTTATGTTTGTTTATTGATTGAGACAGGGTAGTTCAAGCTGGCCTTGAACTCACTATGTAGCCCAGGCTGGCCCCAAACTTGTGTCAATCATCCTGCCTCAGCCTTCCAAGCACTGAGGTTACAGGCGTGCACCGCACCCAGCTGACTTTTTATTTTGAGACAGGGTGTCATTAAATTACTCAGATTGGGTTCAAACTTATGCTCTTCCTGCTTCATCCTCCCAGAGTGTGACATTACAGGATGTGCCAGTGTACCTGGCAATCTTCCTTCTTTTATTTTAAAAGGGGGGGGGGGAGTTGTGTGGCACTATAATCCCAGTCCTCAGGAAAGTGCGGCAGGAGGATGGCAAGTGTGAGCCCAGTTTGGACCACTTAGCAATTTAGCAGTTTCATCCACACCTCTCCTGCTGCTGTACAACTCACTGCCCGAGGTGCTTTCTGGTTCCTGGAGCAGAGGACTGGCTGACCTTTGCCAAGGACTGCCAGCAGGCATGGTACCCTTGCCTCTATACCTGCCCTCCCAAATGCCACCTGTGACCCCAGGCCAGCCACTCAGCCAGTAGGTCTTGCCACTGCAGTCCTCTCCTTCTGCCCGTGGGCACCATGCTGTGACCTTTGCAAGGCCCCAGTCCCTCTAACTTCTCTTGGGCTGCACCAAAGAGTCCACTGTCGGGGCAAAGCAGAGAGCACTCTCTACCCAGTGGGTGAGGAACCCCTGTGACTGTTTCACCTCATGGCACTCTAAGTGCCCTTCACCACTGCTGGATGGGATCACATGAGATGGGGTTGGGGGAAGAAAGGAGGTTTGGGGGAGGCACAGGCTGAATGAATATTTGCATAGAAAGAAGAAAACGCTTATTGATTGGGGCAGAGCAATATTTATCTGTTGTAATGCTAGAGTTGGGTATTATATTAAAACCTTGTCACTACCACAAAAAAGTTTTACCCCCAATTTTCTTCCCATCAATAATCCTGCTGTTTACTCCAAACTCTGCTGCTATCCTGGTCAGCCAGCATAGGGGTCCCCAGCACTCCCAGGACCTCACTACCAGAGTGAGGGTTTTCTGGGGGCTTGGAGGATAGTCCAAGTGGAAGTCAGTGATTCTAGGTTCTGTGTGGAGTTAGTCCCTCCACCCTCCGCTTCCAAATCAGTTCTGTGAGCTTTGCGGCTTAGACCTCAACAAAACTTAACTTTTATTACAGCAAATCTAATTAATGTTCCCCTGGTGTGTGTTTGTTGATACCAAGGATCCAACTCATGACCTTGCACTTGCCAGGAAGGCACCTGTGCCACTGAGTTAAATCCTCAGCCCCCTGGTGTATTTCATCCAGATTTTTTTTAAAAAGTAGAAAAAAGAACAGTGACTTCCCGGGTGTGGTGGCATGCACCACATGTGATTCGAGCACTGGGAAGCTGAGGCAGGAAGATCACTGCAAGTTCAACCAGGCTTAGTGAGGCCCCACCTCAAAAAAAATAAATAAATAAAACACTGAGTTTTAGAAAGAATAGATGAGGTGGCTGGGGGGTTAGCTCAGTGGCACAAGCGCCTGCTTGCCAAGTATAAGGTTGTGACTTCAATCTCTGGTACAAAAAAAGAAAAAAAAAATGAGGAAATACTTTTTTTGAGACAGCATCTCACTATGCAGTTTACATTGGACTTGAACTTACTATATAGCCCAGTTGGCCTTGAACTCACTTCATAGCCTCAGACTGGCCTCAAACTTGCAGCAATCCTTCTGCCTCAGCCCCCAACTGCTAGGATTACAAGCATGTGCCCTGTTGCCCAGCTGAAACACAAATGTTGGTTTCCTTTAATCTAGCAATTCTACTTCAGTAAACTACACTGAAGAAATGATCAGAAGAAAGGGAAAGATTAGTGCAACCAAATGTTATCAGTAGCATTTGTTTGTTCAGAGAGTTGTTCCCTCTAACTGTAACAGTAATACATCTTCATTACAAAATGCTAAGAAAAGATAAAGAATCTCACAATTCTACTACCCAGAAAAAACGACTATAAACTTAAAATAATCTTTCCAACTTTTGTTCTTTATTTTTGCATTGAATACTGATTAAACTCAGGAACTCTGCACTGAGTTATACTCCCAATCCCTTTTTATTTTTTGAGACAGGGTCACTGAGTTATCTGGGCAAACCTCCTGCTTTTGCCTCCCAGAGTACCAGGATTACAGGCATGGGCCACCACACCTGGCCACAACACCACTTTTAATGCCTGCATAATACTCTACTGACTCAATGTAGCATATTTTCTTTAACTGATACATTAATCCTATAGCCATTAAATCTATATACAAACCAAGTATGGTAGCACACGTGTGATCCTAGCACTTGAGAGGCTGAGACAGGAGGATTGCTGTGAATTTGAGGCCAGCTCGGGTTACATAGTGTGATCAAAGCCAGCCTCAACTACCAAGGGAACAAAAACTTATGGAGGCAATATGCCAAATTAGAGTCATAAAGTTGTTGCTGGGTAGCATTACAGGTGGCTTTTTTGGGGGGGGTTCTCACATTCTTTAAATTCTCTGCAATGAGCATGTTTCCTTGACAACAGGGTGGGGGAAGTGTACAAGCTGGCTTATAAGCTTGTGCCTGACCAATGGGCGATGAAGATGAAAAGCAGAGACACAGAATTAGGGTAAAATGGGGAGAGTCAGAGGTCTCTTGTCTCCCTTTGATGAAGAACCCTGGATGACTAGCATACATGGCTTTATTCCCTTGGAGACAGGTAAAAGCAATTAGAGTTTCACAGCAGCCGTCTGCCTCCTACCATCCATGTTTTGTGTCCAGGTAAACAACAGGAGCTCTCTGCTTTGCCTTTTCCCTTGAGCCTCAGCACAGGTGCATGCTACCTTCTTTCCCGGTGCTCAAAGAGGTCAGTTAGGCCTTAATCTTCCTACCTGGCCTCCCACAGGAAGTTTACAGAATGAGAGAAAACAGCCTGGCATGCACACAAACCATGACAGGCCCTACTTGAGCAGAGAAAAGCTGTTACTCTATGGCACCTGCCTGACATCAAGGCCCAGCCAGTAGCGACAGCCAGAGAGGCAAAGAATGGAATTTCTCAGTATTTTGTGTGTGCACGCAAAACTAGGGGCAGTACCTACGCTTGCTCAGCCAGGCTGGAGACCCTGCCTTTAACTCTTTTTTCCCCCCTAGTGCAGTACAGGGCTTCAGCCCAGGGCCTCATGAGTGCTAAGCAAGTTATGGCAGCACCCAATGACACTCCAGGTGGCCAATGCCTTCAACTCTTAAAGCAAGACAGAATTTCCCAGACAACTTTTTTGTTGTTGTTGTTGTTTTGTTTTGAGACAGGGTCTAGTTCAGGCTAGCCTTGAACTCAGAGTGATGCTCCTGGCTCAGCCTTCCGAGTGCTGGGAGTGTACACACGCACCAGCACGCCCAGGCTTTCTGGACCACTTTTCTTCCTTCCTGTGCATTCTACGTCCTTTCCCCTGACTTCGTAATTTGTTATTCCAGCACTCAGGGCCTTGGATTAGGTGTCTGTGAAACATTAATTAAGGCTCAGATCCAGGGCCAGTGGGCAGAGTAAAAGATCAACTGCTCACTCCAGGCTTAGGTATGTGTCAGCCTTCAGAAATGAGAGGCTTCTCTTTCCTTTTTCTCACGTTCCCGTAGTGACCCTCTTCACTGTCCCTCTTTTTCATGTGGTACCACAGGGCAGGGACTTTGGGAATCTATCAGCCTGCTTCCCAAGCGTGCTTGCCCAGGGGGCTGGTGTGGCACGTTTGTGAACCCCTGAGGCCCCCAGAGATCAGAAGCCAGGCTGGCCCCCAGCTCCTGAGCACCTGGAAGACTGGGCCCCAGACCAGGCGGCGCAGGGAGTGTGGGCCACACTTACCATCCTGATGCTCGAGATCACCAAGGACCATGTACAGGGAGCCCACCTGGGCCTGGAAGGGTTCCACCAACTCAGTAGACACAAGAACCTGGTGCTGGTCAGATCCGTGCTGAGCCGTGAGGGTCACCCGGGACTGCGTCACGTCGTATAGGTGCAACCTGAGGCAGAGGAGACGTGGTCATCTCTGCACACAGCAAGAGCCACCACAAAGCTCAAGAGGTTTGAGGAGAACAATAAATCCATGGAAATCACGATAACCCTCAACCCAATCTGAGAAATAAAAGTAGAAGCAACAAATCAGAACAAATGCTTTCAGTCTACACTGGGAGCTGAGATAATTGTCTGTTAACTTTCTTCCCCTTGCTTTTAATTCTCTTACTGGTCTCTTGTTTGTTTTGTGTCATGGTGGCATGTGCCACCATACAGAGCCAGAAGTACTTAACTTTGTTGAGGTCCAAGTCCTCCGACACATCTCCTTCCCTCCCTCTCTCTCTCCTTCGTCTCCTCCTTCCCTTCCTTCTTTCTTTCCCTGTATTGGGTTGTTTTGTTTGTTTGTTTTTTGGGATTTTTTCCTTTGGCTTTTTTTTGAGACAGGGTTTCACTACATGGTTCAGGTTGGCCTTGAACTCACTTTATAGCTCAGGTTGGCCTCGAACTTGCAGTTTCCTGCCTCCCAAATGCCTAGATTACAGGCGTGGGTCACCACTCCTGGCTGTACTGGGGATTGAACCTAAGAACTTCACACTGAGCTACATTCTTAGACTTTTTTTTTTTGAGACACAGTCTTACACATTTGCTAGACTTCCCGGATGGGGTGTGAAGTTGTGATCCTCTTGCCAAAGCCTTCAAGAGTGCTACGGGGCAATAAGTATGCACCACCATCCCTGGCTTTTTCTTTCTTTCAGAGTGTTTGCTTTCTGTATCTCAGCTAAAAGACCTTTGCAGATTACAAGAATATCATGAAGATGTGCTCCTGTTTATACTTAAAAATGTAATATTTTATCTTACATATCTGTAATACATAGTAAGGCAGGAACAGGGTGTTTTGCTGCCTAAGACAACACCCAGTAGCCCCAACACCACCTGCTGAAATGACTATTCTTTCTCTACTGATTGCCAATTACATTATGGTACAGTCACGAGTCACTTAATGACAGCGACATGTTCTACAAAATGAAATCCCCAGGTGGCCTCATCACTGCAAACACTGTGCAGTACACCTAGGGAAATCTAAGTGGCCACCTATTGTATATTTATGTGGTGGGCCCATGGTTTACAGGACCCAATGCTACACTTCATGTCAATAGACTGAATACCGCAGGCAGTTGTTGTAGTACAATACAAAGAATTTGGGTATCTAAACAGATCCAGATATAGAAAAAGTCCAGTAAAAACTAGGTGACAGGACATTCTCAACTCCATTACAGTCTTACAGGATCACTACCACAGATGTGCTGCATCACTGACCAAAATGGCATGTGTACACGACTGCACAGCTACACAGTGAAATAAAGTGGACCTATTAAAAATGAGGATGTACCGGTGCTGCAGTGGCCCAGAGAGGACTAGTGGGATCAGCTTGGGCTAAGTCACACCCCTGTTCGGGACCCAATAGCCAGAGATGAAACTGTCCCAACCCTGTGACGTCCGCAAAGCAAAGGCTAAGTTGCTGAAAGCACTTGCCGGTTGACTGGCTCAGAGAAGAGCGGTTAGCCCACAGTCCCTGCATGCACCTCAGATAACAGCAAACTGGAGAGGGCAGCAAGCCCCCAGCCAGCACACTTCAGAAAAACCGTAAGTAATACAGAGAGGGCCTGAGACCTCCACCACACACCTGTCTGAAAGAAACCAGAAACATGACAAGAGAAAAAAACAAAACAAAAACAAAAAAAAACCTCCAGCCGCTGACCTTGGGAAAATAAGCCCAGGAGAGGTAAATACAGAAGAGAACCCATACAGCAATCATGCAATATTGGCCACAACATCAGCGGACAGAAAGAAATACTTTCGTGACCTCATAGACGAACTTAAAACTGAAATCCTAATCCAAGTGAGGCAAGATATAAAAAGATTAATAAAAGAAATGCTAAGCCCCTCTCAGGAAGACACAGATGGAAGAATGGAGGAACCCAGAAAAGGAAGAGAAACCTTTGGTGAAGAATATAAACAAAATTTAGAATACATGAAACAGATCCAAAGAGATTACCAGGAAATTAAAAACTCCATTGAAAGCTGGCAAAATGCCTTGACAGAAACTAAAGTTAGTCTTTCAAAACTTGAAGATAGATTTGCAATGTGTGATCATGAAAGAAAAGACCTTTTAAAAATAACAAGGAACCAGGAAGTAACAATTCAAAGGCTAGAAGACAACAAGAGGATCTATAACTTAAGAATAAAAAATGTGAGCAAAGAAGCAGGAGTAACCACAAATGAATTACAAAGACTATTCACAGAAATAATTAAGGAAAACTTCCCAAGCATAGGAAAAAGAAATTATATCCAGATAAATGAGGCATACAGAACTCCAACCAGCTAGAACCTAAACAGATCTATACCTACACATAATAATCAAGATCCCAGAAGTCCACCACAAGAACAGAATATTAAAAGTGGTCAGAGAAAAGAAGCAGATCACCTACAAAGGAAAAATCATCAAAATAACGACAGACTTATCAACACAAATTATCAAGTCAAGAAGAGCCTGGGGGGCAATAGTCCAAGCCCTGAAAGAAAATAACCTCCAACCCAGATTGATGTACCATGAAAAACTCTCTCTCAAAATTATGGAGAAATGAGATATTTCCAAGACAAGGAGGAACTGTGGGAGTTCATGGCCACCAATCTAACCCTACAAAAAATACTGAAGGACATTCTAGAGAGAGAGAGAAAAAAAATACCAGGATTCCAGCAACAGTGGCAGAGACGCCTCAACGAACAGGGCAGACAGTGGAATGAAGGAGAAAAGTGGACAAATAATAGCCGAAAAATAGAATAGCACAGATGAGTCAGAGAAGGTGGGCTATAATCTCTAATATAGGTAGCCCTGATACACTAACAAAAAGAAACACAGGCAGAGTAGATTAGGAGGCAGGACCCATCGAGATGCTCTGAATAGGAAATATACTCAACCTCAAAGAGGGTTAATAAACTGAAAGTCAAATATGAGAAAACGATGCTGTATGTGACAGGGAACCAGAGAGAAATAGGGACAACTCGTCCAGCAGCGGCAGATAGGCTGGAGAGTCATTACACTTTTGTGCAGTGGAGAACTACGCAGCTATAAGGAAGGAAAACCTTGTGGCTTTAGTAAGTAAAGGAGTACAGCTCAAGATCAAGCTCGGGGGTAAAAAGGTTCAGCACCACTCAGATAGATAACGGTTTGACCCCCTAATTTAAAAACTTAAAGGAGCTAGAGAGACCCAAAATATACAAAGCATCCTAAGAAAGGGAAAGGTGAGGAATTGCCTAAAAAAAGCGGGCAGGGGCATTGTTAATAGTGTATCAGGATTTAGAATTAGTCTTATTGCTCTGTTTAGTTTGATTTTATTTTGCTCCGGTCTGTCTACTCATACTAGATTTGAGGGCACAGACAGCTATCCCAAAAATAGCAGGCTAGGGGTTGGGGATTTAGCTCAGGTGGCATAAACACCTGCGTTGCAAGCGTGTGGTTGTGAGTTCAATCCCTGGTACCGATAAAAAAAAAAATAGCAGGCTATATGACAGTAACTATCCTTAATTTCCTATTAAATTAAAGTGAAGCCCTGTATTACTTACATTGTCTTACTATGACTGATCTTGAAGCTAGTTTGTTAGACCTTGATCTTGAAGCTAGTTTGACCGCTGTTTTGCCTTGACTGATTTCATTTGAATTTGATATGCTTGATAGTATCAAGTCTAAGAGTAGAGGCACCTACTTTGAAGATGACAAGATGTAATAAGATACTCATTATGATTTGATTATTAACTGTTTTTGAAGTCCTACAATGTCTCTAAAGTTGTTTTTTTATTAAAATAGCTATGTAATGCTATGTTCTATTATATTATGTTTGATGATGTGGACAATTCTATTGAAAATAACAAGAGAAAGCATAATAACTACTGTAGATCACCTAATATAGTGGTTTTATATGTCTTTTTCATTTCATGTTTTTCTAGGAATTTGTTTTGTTGTCTTGTTTTGATCTGTTTTTCCCTATAATACAGAAAGGACAGATACACATGTAGAGATTCACACATGGGGTGAATTTCTAAACGGTTTATGGGAACAGACTATATAATGCATGATGTAAGGAACAGATACTCTGAAGAAGAAGAGACACTAAGATACCCAGTGCTAATTCTGTAGCATTATGATATAAAATCTACCAACACTATCATTCACTGTCGAGAGTGATATTAGTCTAGCCCCTTATGTTCAATTTCAGCATACATAAAGATAAGGACAGGTACTACCAATAGAATGAGAGACATTATGGTAGTCATTATTGACTTCCCCAATGTCAGGTCTTGAAGACCTAAAAAGCCTTCATCATCCTGTTATGATTAGATTAGTTCTATAATGTTCAGTATATATTCAATGTATGTGAAGATGGGGACAACTATTTGGAAGAAAATAAGATAGACAGTGAAGATCTCCAGTGAACTTGCTTCGAAATTCATGTTTCTTAAAATTGTTTCCTTATGATCTGTTTCATTCTGTTTTGTTATGTTTAATTTTATCCTCTTTAAAATAAAAAAAATTTTTAAAATGAGGACGTAAAAAATAAATAAATAAAAATGAGGACACGGACCTACACATTTGGCATGGAAGGGGGTCTACCATTCACAATTAACTAAGAAAATAGTTGGGTCTTTGCTGGGCATGGCGGTACACACCGGGAACCTAGAACTCAAAATAGGGAGGCACAGGCAGATGGATGGTTTGCTGGGAATTCTAGGCCAGCCTGAACTACACAGCAAAATTGTGTCTCAGAAACAAATTAAACAAATAAACAACACCAAAAGAGAATAGAAATGGTACAGGATAGAGCTGGGGTAAACTCCGTGGTAGAATGCTTGGCTGGCATGAGGGTTTTCTTTTTTCTTTTCTTTTTTTTTTTTTTTTTTTTTTTTTTTTTTTTTTGTCTTTTTCCTTTTTATCGTACTGGGGATCGAACTCACAACTGCCTGCTTGCAAGCCAGGCGCTTATGCCGCTGAGCTAAATCCCCAGCCCCTGGCATGAGGGTTTGATCCTCAGCCCACAAAAAGGAAAATGCCGCCCAGTAATACAATAGAATTTCACATAGATTAGAACAGGTCCCTCTGTGTTTCTCCAAGGTGGTCCTGGTGATTCCTTCTTCCAGAGGTTCACTTGGACAGCGCCCACTATGCAGAATGAGGCTGACCTCCATAATCAGGAGGAGCCTACGGAAATGACAGAGATGACTTCTGAAGCCAGGACATAATATGCACTGTGTCTTCTACAGTGCTCTGTCTCTGGGACAAGCTGCTGGGGTACAGGACTCAGGCAGCCCTGTGGAGAAACCATATTGCCTGAGGCTGAGCTGATTTTTTTTTTTAGATTTGGTCTCACGATGTAGTTCAGGCTGGCCTTGAACTCACTATGGAGCCCAGGCTGGCCTCATAACTACTCTGCAAGTGGATCATCTGGTCTCAGTCAAGTAACTGAAGGAATAAGCTGGATGATATTTCTGACCTCATGAGCCACCCTGAGCCAAACTCACCCAGCAAAGCCGACCCACACTGCAAGACATACACACACATACTTGCTGTCACTGGGAGGCACATATTTGGGTCAGCTTGCCACACTGCCATATATAATTCACACAGTACACATATGTACACATATCAAGCATGTGCACACTCACCTAGTTAGACACACATCTACATACACGTATAAAAAATTACACAAAGGTAACTGAAAAAGGAGCAGAGCTGGTCTAAATAATTGGATTACTGGAGATTTTTTGTTTTCTTTATTCCTTTGTGAATCATCTACTTTTTTTCTACACTGCATACATATTAATTTTTAGAATTTTTCATAATTAAAATTATAAAACTATTTTAAGCCAGGTGTGGCTGAGGCAGGAGAATCAGAAGCTTAACCTCAATTGGGCCATTTAGCAACTTAGAGCCTGTCCCAAAGTACAGAAATAGCCTGGGGATGTAGCTCATCATAAAGGCTCTGGGTTCAGCCCCCAATACTGCAAAGACACCCACTCTTACCTGCCAAATGTGCGCAGCGCGCCTCCCTCGGGAACATGACCAGTGGCAACCTCCCAGGGGAGGTAATAGATCCCAGGGCATGGAAGCATTGTTGGATTTTGTAACCATAGAATTGAGATGGGTTTCGAAGATTCCTGATAAACCAAGCAGACCACAAGATAGGTCAGTAGATGCACAAGACCAGTTACGGGTAGAAAACTAGTTCCAGCTTCGTGTGGTGGGCACACACCTGTCGTCCTAGCACTGAGGCAGGAGAGTTGCTGTGAGTTTGATCCAGCCTGGGCTACACAGTGAATTCAAGGCCAGCCTGACCTATAAAACGAGAGTCTCATCCCAATCACTGGACAAAGGAAAGGAAGATATACATTTATACAGCACACATATATATGAGAGGACAAAAAGCAAGGAACAAGTCCATATATAGGTCAAGCATGCATGTGTGAGTGTGAACCCTTCATAAGGCCATTTCTGCAGAGCAAAGGGGTGGGGGAAGTGACCAGGAGCCCATTTGGGGTGAGCACTGCTCACTCTAGAACTGACAGACTCAGTTGGACATCAGATGCCTGTAATTCCAGCTACTTGGGAAGCTGAGGCAGGACAGTTGCAAATTCAAGCCCAGCCTGGGTGATATAGCAACCTCATGAGAACTTGTGCCAAAACAGAAAATAAAAATTTGCTGACAATGTAGCTCAGAGTGAATGCCCTGGGTTCAATGTTTAATATCATAAAAAAAAAAGTCAAAACCAAAAACCCACTATGGGCTCAGGAGGCCTAGAAAAGAAAGGCTGCTGGCCCGGCAGGTACGTCCCAGGCCAGACTGTCTCTCTGCTGTTTGGTGGGACATGCTTCATGACCGAAGAGAAGAGGCAGAAGGCAGGGCCTGTGGAGTCACAGACAGGAAAACACACTGCTGCTCAGCGAATGGAGCCTGGGGCCGAGCCTTGAGGAAGAAATGAAGGAACTATTTCCCAGCAGTTTTCACTGAGCAGCCATCTACCAAGAAGCACGGCAATATTAAGACCCTGGGCGACCCAGCATGGTCAACGCAAAGCGTAAAATAAGCCATCCAGGGAAGCACCTGTGTAAGAGACACTCAAAAATAATGCCCCCCCTTTTTTCTTTTTTAAACAATTTATTCATTTTGGGGGGGCACCAAGGGTCAAACTCAGGACCTTGCACTTGCTAGGCAAGTGCTCCACCACTGAGCTAAATCCCCAACCCCTCTCCCCTTTTTACTGTCCCACAGTCATCCCTTACTTATCCACAATTTTTCCTGTATTAGGTTTTCTTTAAAATGTTAAAGTTGCCTGTACTCTTAGCATATATGAGGCTGAGGCAGAAGAACTGCTGCCAGTTCAAGGCCAGCCTGGGCTACATAGGGAGATGCTGTTTCAAAAGAAAAGAAAAAGTCGTTGGTTCGATTCCCAGTACCACAAGGAGAGAGCGAGAAGAGAAAGATGTTCAGAAGTGGGGATTCGGAGTCATTAATTATTCAGTGACAGAAGAGCCCTGAAGGTGATAACCTTAAACTATTTTTTTCAAATCCATATTATTTCAAAGAGAGGGAAAAAAACCCGAAATTTCACACATCAATCAAGGTATTTGTTTTTTTCTTTACAGTACTAGGGATCAAACCCAGAGGTGTTCTACCCCTGAGCTACACCCCAAGCCTCTTTTTATTTTTTATTATGAGACAGGGTCTCAGTTAATTACCCAGCTAGGCCTTGAATTTGTGATCCTCCCGCCTCAGCCTCCTAAGTCAGATCTTTGCAGAGGTAATCAAGTTAGTTTGAGGTCCTTAGGATACAAATCCAACAGGAGAATCTCAAGTTCCTGGTTTTAAAAAGGTGAAGAGGTTACAGCAGGGTAGCTTTGTGGCAGAGCATCACCTAGCCTGTAGAATCCTGATTCTATGTCTAGCACCACAAAAGTCAATCAATCTTCAAACAATACATTAAAATGGGAGAAGACACAGGACAAGACACAGGAAGGAGGCCACATGAAGATGAAAGCAGAGACCGCATGGTGTGAACACAAGTGAAGGATTCCAAAGAGCTGGGTGTGGTAAATGCCTGTAATTCCACCTGCTCGGGAAGCTGAGGCAGAACTATGGCAAGTCCAAGACCAAGACCATTTAGCAAGCAGTTATATCAAAATAACATTTTCACAGAGCAGGGACATGTTAATAGTAGAACGCTTGCCTAGCATACATGAGTCCTGGCTTTGACCCCAGTATTCAAAAAATGAATAAATGATTAACAATAAATAAATACAAAACCAAGGAGTGGTCACAAACTACTGGAAGCTAGGAGGGAGACTGGGCCGTGTCAAAAGGGCACTCTGATCTCAAACTTCCAGCCTCTGAACTGAGATGAAGCCTGCTATTTAAGCTACTTGACTGTAACATTTTGTTACAACAGATCTAGGAAACTAATACAACTGGAGGGGGTCTTAGACGAGGAGAAAAAATTATAGTAAAGGATAAAGGAGCTTACAGGACAATTGTAAAAACCATGAGAAGAGGCTGGCTGAGAAGGAGGATTGCTGTGAGTTTGAGGCCAGCCTACACTATAACAGCTGTCTCCAAAAAGTTTTTTTCAAAGAAAACAAAAAACGATACCATAAGGACATAGATAACAATGTTGGGACAGTGTTGATTGGTGGCTGTCCTGTAAGTGCCCCTTATTATTTGGAAATACACTGAAGCCTTTAACAAGTCAAAGAGCAGGGCTTCTGGAATGTTTTTTCACATGGTCCAGAAAGTGGGCCAGGGACATAGCTCAGCAACACAGCTCCTGCCTTGCAAGTGCAAGGTCCTAAGTTCAATTCCTGACACACACACACACACACACACAAAAAAAAAAAAAAAAAAAGGAAAGAAAAGAACACAGAGCTGAAGACAAAGCAGATAAGTAATAGGAACTGGTGAATCCAGGTGAAAGGTATGTTGATCCTGCTGTGGGCACTGCTATCCGCAAATGTGTGAGTAGAAAGCACCTCTAAACCTCTTCTGTTTAAGGCTGGGCACACTCACTATCATCATGACATCCATGGTGGCACAGGCCAAGATAATGACAGTTCCTCCTAAAGATATCAGTAGGTTTTATTATTGATTCTAGAACCAGGCAATATTGTATTCCTTAACACAGAATAAGTGTGGCATGCGTTGGGCAGAAGAGGCTGGGTTGTTTGGTTTTGGTTTTTTGTCTTTTTGAGACAGGGCCTCACTATATAGGTCAGGCTGGTCTCAAACTTGCACTGCTCCTCCTGCCTCAGCCTACTGAGTGCTAGGATTACAGGAGACTCCATCACATCTGACAATGCTGGTTTTATAGACACAAATGTGTCCAAAAAAGCAGAAACGATGCATAAGAAGTAATCAGTCACTTCCAAGTTAGTTTCCATGTAAGGTGGAAACGAGGAGACACACAATAGAAAAAGAAGCTATTGGTAAACTTTAGGTTACTACTTCTAAAGATAAATGGACCAAGAATGAGGGACTGAAGCTGAGGATTTCATCTGGACAATGGATTGGCCTGTGTAGGAAATCCGGCTGTTACCTTTCTCTCTCCTGATTTCTTAGATGGTCAGATAACAATTTAGTAAATCTTTGGTGACCTGAGGTGTTAGCATTTTGATCTTTAGTCTGGTCTGTTGAGCTCCTACACAGAAGCCTGGTCTAAAACAACTCCTTCCTAAATCAGGTAGGGGTGAATGTGTATCTATAATCATAGCACTTGAGTAGTTGAGACAGGAGGACCACTGTGAGTTTGAGGTCAGCCTGGGCTATAAAGTGAGACCCTGTCTCAAAAATAAATAAGTAAATAAAATAAAAAGATTCAGGGCTGGGGATTTAGCTCAGCGGCATAAGCGCCGCCTTGCAAGCAGGCAGTCATGAGTTCGATCCCTGGTACCGATAAAAAGGAAAAAGACAAAAAAAAAAAAAGTTAATATTTCATTTTTAATTTTTTTTGAGACAGGGTCTGGCTATGAACCCAGGTTGGCCTCAGCCAACCTCCCAAGTGCTGGGATGATGGGTATATGCCCTACTTGGGTTCACTTTTGTTGAGACAGAGTCTCAGGCTGGCCTCCAACTCTTAATCCTGCTCAACCTCCCAAGTGCTGGGATTGCAGGTGCACAGCACTAGATCCAGCTGATTTATTTTTGTCACTGCAGTTTATTAAATATTTAACACCAGTTAACTGGATTTGTTTAAAGTCTATGTTGTCCACTAGACTGTCAGCTCCATGAGGGCAGGGCGTCTGTCTCACTCCCTACTGTGTTCTCTGAGCCTAAAAGTGTTTGGGATATTATTGAATATTTATCTATTTATTTATGCATTTTTGAGACAGGGTCTTGCTATGTAGTCTAGGCTAGTCTTGAACTCACTATGTACTACAGGCTGACCTCAGACTTGCAGCAATACTCCTGCCTCAGCCTCCTGAGTACTGGAATTATAGGCATGTGCCACTACACCTGCTACATATTTATTAAATGGCAGCGGAGGTACACAAAGAAGAATGTGAACCCCAAAGCACCTACCTTCACACTTAGCTTGGACCCTCAGATCCAAAACCACACTTCATTGCCCATGTGGATGCCGCCAGAATTCCACCTTCATTATCATTTCTTAGCTCTCCTTGGACTATCCACTCAGGCAAAATGATTTGGGCATCAACACCTAGTCTGCCCACTAATACTTCCCTGTTCGTGATCAAAATTCAGAATCAAAAGACCAACTTCCAATTCTCAATAAATTGTGACGGTTCACCTCCATTCCAAGACATCACCAAAGCTTAGTATTTCCCCTTTGTCCGATAAGCAGTTTACTGGCTTTATGTTATCAATAGCTTGTGTCATTTGTATTTTGAGTGTCAGTGTATGTGTGTGGTACCTAGGTTAAACCTAGAACCTTAGCACTGAACTATCGCTTCAGCCCTTTTAATTTATTTATTTTTTCAGCTCTTTTGAGACAGGGTCTCATAAGTCACTAAATTGTCCCGGATGGGTTTGAATTTGCAATCTTCTTGCCTCAATCACAGTTCTGGGATTACCGTCATGAGTCAACACACCCAGCATGGAGTGCTACCTCTTTTTCATTGCTTCTCAGCCTTCTGGCTAAGATTAAATATAGAGTGCCAGCTTTTAAAAGACAGGAGAAATAAAATCCACAGGAAAGCAATTAAATAATGCTTTATTGCTTGAGGACATTAAAAATACCCACAATAAGACTTCCATGCCCAGATATATTAGAGCCTGAGACAAAAGAAAAACCAATAATGATCTTATTTTATTTAAAATTTTGTTAAAGTGCTCGCTTCGGCAGCACGTACACTACAATTCTGTTATTTTGGGTTTTTTTTTTTAATTCTGTTATTTTGTTCATCCGTGATTTTTAAATTTTTTTTTATTTTTTGCATTTAGAAAAAATAGGATGTCGCTCAGTGGTACAACACTTGTCTAGCATGCTGGAGGCCTCAGGTGCCACCCTCAGCATCATAAAAACAAGCTTGCATTTAAATATTATTAATCTTTTTTTTCTTTGGTACCAGGGATCCAACTCATGACCTCACGTTTGCCAAGCAGGCACTTATGCCGCTGAGCTAAATCCCCAGCCCCAATATTATAAATCTTGAGTATTTTTTTTAGCTCCCTTAAATTTTGTATCTGAGAGCCAGAGCTTAGGCAGCACAAGCGCAAGGTCATGAGTTAGTTTGATCTCTGGCTGAAAAAAAAAATGTGTCCTATGGAAATGCCTTGTTCATTTTGCCCTCTTCGCAGTACAGATACTGCAAAAAGGAACTAGGTATGCTGTTAGGATTTATAAAGGCCATTTAGGAAACAGTAAAGAAAAGACTGACATGCGACCTGCTGTATCTTTGTTATGGCATGAAGTCAAAAGGCAACTAAAATAAATAAATGGGATAAGTATTTTATTTAGAATTTTTTAGGAATAAGAACTTTAAAAAAGGGTTAGGGATGCAGCTCAGTGGTAGGAGTGCTTGCCTAGCATGCACAAGGCCCTCTGTTCAATACCCAGTACCACACACACACACACACACACATACACCCAATCTGCAAAAAGTTGCTGCCTCCAACGCTGGAGAACATTTATCGTCTTCCTGAGACAGGCCAGAAGAAATAAAAAGTAGGAAAGAAAGGAGACGAGGGAGTGGAGATTTTAAAACTGTACTTTTAAGAAACACTCAGCTTCGAGGTGAACTTTTTTCACTTGCTTCTAGAGGCTACGTAGCTTGCAAGCCACCCTTCCTTCTTTACAAAATACAGTGTTAAATTCCAAAGAGCCTTTTACAACAGCACTAGAACAGTCAAAATTGCCTTTCCCTCTGGCCCAGGAAGCAGCTGCGTTGGTTGATAGCATATCTCAACAGTGCATCTCGACTTAAAAGGCATATGGACAACCTGTACGGTAACAGTAACCTACCAGTTAAAATGCATTCTTAGACCATCTACTTTGAAAACATCCCTTTTAAATGTGCCATCTGCACTCCGATCTTTGAAAATTCTTTTCCGCCAGCCAGCAAATCCATAAACTTATTTTTAAAAGGTGAGATAAATTCTTTATTTCCAGCCTCGGGGACCTCACAGACCTAACCTGGTGCCATTGCCATACTAGGATTTTTTGGAATGTATACAATTATCGCTTTGATGATGACCATAATAGCACCTAAAAAAAGTTTGGATTCCAAAACTTTTCCTTCCAGTTTAGGAGGAAAAAAAAAAAAAGAGGAAGTCTGGATTCCAGGGACAGAAGGCTCAGAAAAGCACAGCTAGCTCTGTCAAATTAAATCCATCCCATCCCACAAACCCGAAAAATTTCTGCAGTTCCGCCCGTCCCCGCTGTCTATACCTTGGGCCACACGGACGTCCTAGTCTTTATTTTTTTTCCCCCTTTTCGGTATCGGGGATGCAGATACTGTGCCGCAGAGCTAAATCCCCAGCTCCCTTTTTTTCGGTTTTGTTGGTTTTTGCTACCAGAAATCGAACCCAGGACCTTGCACTTGCCAGGGAGGCGATCGCACCTCGGAGCCATATCCCAGGACGCCACAATCTTAACACTAAATAATGGACGCTCCACTCCCAGCGACCGCAGTCCCAGACCCTTTTTCTCCGATTTGGGAAGGTTCTGGGAGACCCTATGACGTCCTCCTAGTTACCCAAAAAACACGGGACCCTCAGAACTTGACCTTCGAATTCCACCCTCTCCGGTTTCCGGGGAGGGTCTAGCGCACGGACCGGGAAGCCTCGGGACACGCGAACCGCACAGCGCAGGCGCAGCCCCGCCTCAGCCTCACTGCGCTTCCTCATCCCCACCCGCCCGCCAACCTGTTCTGGGCGTCGACGGGGCCTCAATTCCCACTCAGTTTCCACGCGTGATCTCGTGGCGTGAGAGAGGCGGGATACCAAAAATCTCCCCCTCCCTCCCAGGACAATTTCTTGACCTTCTACCTGGTTTCCCAGGCAGCAGGGGATTCGTCCGCCCGTTGGGCGGCTCCGGCGGGCGCCTCCTCCGCCTCCCCCGTCTCCTCCGGGCCGGCCGGGGCGGCGGTCAATCACGCGCCGAGGAAGCCCGAAGGCGAAGGGGCGGGACTGGGCGAAGGGGGACGGGGCGGGGCCTCGCGGTGTCCTGGGACTGCTTTTCGGAGCCCCGACCGCGCTGGACCTGCAGACTTGCTCTGTCACCGCTGCCGCTTCCCTCGGCGTCGCCCACCCGAGCCGACGCCATGAACCCCGACCTGCGTAGGGAGCGGGCCGCTGCCACGTTCAACCCGGAGCTGATCACGCACCTTCTGGACGGCAGCCCTGAGAAGACCCGGCGCCGCCGAGAGATCGGTGAGGGCGGCGGTCCGCTTCTCTCCGCTCCCAAGCAGGGCCTGAGGTCTCCCCGATGGGGACTTGTGGTCTCCCTGCGACTTAAGGCCGCGTCTTCTCGCCCAGCATTAGGGGAACCAGGACCCCCACTTCCAGAGGCAGGCAGGGGTGGGGTATCGCCTTGCCCGAGAGGCGACTCTGATTGAAACGTGCTGTGAGCCAGGCAAGGTGACTGTGTGGCTTCTTAATGTTTTTTTGTTTTTGTTGTTTTTTAAACTCCTTTTCAGAAAACAAGATTCTTAGTGACCCAGACTTCCAGCATGAGAATCACAACTTCCTCACGCGCAGTGAGCGTTATGAGGCGGCTATCAAGAAGAGCGCTGTCATGGTGAAGAAGATGAGGGAATTTGGCATTGCGGACCCTGATGAAATCATGTGGTTTAAAAGGTAAGTATGGCTTAACACAACAAGTACTTTATGCCCAGATTTTGCATCTGAACCTACGATCTGTGAAGGCCTTTTGTCATCTTGTTTTCATCCCACTAGAAAGTTTGGCTTTTGTTTGTTTTGTTCTTGGCGTTTTGAGACAATCTATGTAGTCCAGCCTGACTTTGAACGCACCGTCCTTCTGCTTCAGCCTCTCGTGTACCCGGATTACAACAGGTGTACCCCTTGAAAGTGTTGTATGTGGAAAATAATGCGATGAGGTTTTTTTTATGGTACTGGGAATCGAACTCAGGACTTTGGACTTACCAGGCAGTTTGATTACTTTCGTATCTAAGCGTTTTAAGTGGGATGATGTATTTGTAGAATACTAATTATGATTGGAGATGCTGGTGTATTCATTCTCATTCTCCAAAAGTCAGTCTCAGGGATCTTACTTAAAAATTATTCTCGGGGCTGGGGATTTAGCTCAGCGGCATAAGCGCCTGCCTTGCAAGCAGGCTGTCGTGAGTTCGATCCCCGGTATGGGAAAAAAAAAATAGGAGGATGGATAAAACTGAAATCAAACTTAAGAGTGCATGTGAAATTCTCTTAAGAATCCAGCTCTGTTGGATATAATATCTGTGTAAATGTCTATTTTATTCATAAAAACCTGTATTGGTCCTAATTCTATGTCATTCTTTTCAGCACACCTATTTTTGTTGTTTTGGTTTTTAATTATACTACTTTAAGCTTTTTTTGTTTGTTTGTTTTGGCCTGTAGTCGTTTACATGTTTTCATGTTACCCTTCTTTTATTTCTGGGTATTTCCTCTATTGTGTTTCTGCATTTCAGAGGAACTCCCAATATTTTTGTCAACAAAAATTGAGGCAGAGGTGTGTGGCTCAGTGGTAAAGCACTTGCCTAGCAAGCACGAGGCTGTGGGTTCATTCCCAAGTGCTATAAAAAACATACTAAATTTTATGAAAGGAGTACTTTAAAGAACCAAGGTAAATGAAACATGTTAGAAATTCTGCCTCTGTGTATTAATGGTTATTCCTTCCTTACTGCATCTACTTTATCTGTTTTCAGCTTAACTTGGTTATTACTGCAAAGGTGAAATGGTGTACTCTGACCTTAAAACTTTGCTCAGTGTTCCATCCACTTCGATTATCAAAAATACTTATTTTTAGTGGCCCAAATCAGAGTACTCAGCAACTTCCAATGTTCATTTTTTTTCCGCTAAAGTATGTAACTGTGACTAGGGACATTGAGATAGAGTAAATCTTACTAGATTTGTGTTACCAAATGACCTGAGTTAGGTTTGTAAACTTGTAAAAATTAGTAAGAGTATATAGCTGCTTCAAGTGAAGTCAAAGAATAGGGAGGTGGATATTTTGGGGGGATTTTTAGTGGGTAAGGCATCTTATTTCCAAGTTAATTTAGATGATTTCTTAACCTGTGGTAATTCAAAGAACGCAACCAGACTTCACTAGAACAGAGCTCGTTATGTAAACTAAAGGTCTGTGGACTTCAACACAGTTATGGATTTGTTGTTTGTTACTTTTTACTATTGTTGTTTATAGTCCAGGCTAGCCTTGAATTCACTGTAGCTCACAAAAGCCTTGTACTCACTATTCTGCCTCACCCTCCCAAGTACTGGGAGTGCTGGAATTACAGGTATGTGCTGTCAGGTCCTGCCAGCCAGTTGTTTTGTGTACCATTTTTCGCTTGAAATATTAAAGTGCAAACTTTAATATACCCTTTGACACCCTTCCAAATGCCCTTAGGATGTGACAGGGAGCTCCATTAGAGGAGACTAAAAATCTTTGTAAGTACTGCAAGCCACCAAATCAGCCTCAAGCATATTATCCCATTAAAACTGTAAACTTATTGATTGTAACTCACATCAATGTTTTGTTTACCACTAAGAAAAAAGTATTAATCATGAGATGAGTTGGATTTCTTGAATGCTAAAATTGGGAGAAGAGTGCTAGAATTGATGAAATACAGTGATATTTCTAAGGATTTAGAGCATTTATTCTCTTTTTCATTCATTTCTCCTATCCTAAAATAATACAAGCCTATTTTGAAGTGAATTCAATGTTAGTAAAATACTTTTACAGTTCTTAAATTGGTGCTAGCTTCAGCAGCACATATCCTAAAGTTCTTAAATTGGATAGTAAAGAACTAGTCTCTTCAGCCTGTAACAGAGTGAGACCTTGCGGGTTATGGAATATAAAAGTTTTCCTAAACTTTGTGGTAATTTTGCCTTTTAACTATACTGTTTGATACGAAACTGTAAATGTTCTTAACAGTGCTTTGAAATTGTCATGAGGGTCAGTCATCATGCTTGATTATCTTTTTTAGGTTTTTAAAGCTGTTCTTTGGGAATAGTGGGCAGCTCAGTGAGTAAAGCACAGGGTTAGCATGCTTGAGATCCTAGACCATCAAACAAATGAATAAACAAAATATCCAGCCAGTAAAACAAACAGTATCAACAAAACCAGTTGCTTTAGATTGGGCGTAGAATTTTAAGTAAAAAAAAATTTTTTTTTTTTTTTTTGAGACAGGGTCTTGCTGTGTAGTTTAAGCTGGCCTTTGAAATCACTTTGTAACCTAGGCTGGTCTCAAACTCGCAGTGATCCTCCTGCTTCAGCCTTCTGAGTACTGGGATTACAGGTGTACACTACCATGCTTGGCTTACTTATTTATTCATATATTTATGAGACAAGGTCTCACTATATAATTCAGGCTGGCCTTAGACTTAGTATGTATTCTAGACTGACCTCAAACTCATGGGACTCCTGCCTCAGCCTCCCAAGTGTTGGGATTACAGGTATGTGCTACCACACCTGGCTTTGAGCATAGACTTTTAAAAGGAATTCTGGAGACTGGGGCAAGGCTGAGTGGTAGAACCTGTGTTTAACATGTGTAAGCCCCTGGGTTCAGTCCCCTGCACCAGAAAAAAATAAAGTCTGGGCTGGAAATGATTAGAGAGAGGAGGTAGCAAGTCCTGCTGCTGGTTTTTATGTAGTAAATGGTTTTTTACCAGAAGGCAGTTTCCATTTTCCTAACCATCCCCAGTGCTGTGAGGCAGCAACAGGTAATAGGTTTCTAGAGTAAGGCTGAGACCCTTTTCTTTTCTTTCCTTTAGACTACTTTTGGGCAATTTTGTGGAACCTGTGGGCCTCAATTACTCCATGTTTATTCCCACTTTGCTGAATCAGGGCACCACTGCTCAGCAAGAGAAATGGCTGCACCCATCCACTGGACTTCAGATAATTGGCACCTATGCCCAGACGGAAATGGGCCACGGTTAGTCCACATCTGAGGGTCTGTGGGTTACCCACCTCAGGACTTCAGGCAAAAGTGACTCCTGCTGTTTGATTTTTTTTTCCTACTGCTGCTACATGTTTGGGATTTTATCTTTAAATTGTTACATCAAAATTGAGTTTATCTTTTCTTCTGGGTCATAGCTCCATAAGTCAGTCCTGGACTGTGGCCTCTAACATCTTTCAAGGTTAATTCTTAAAGTAATTTATGATCATCACATATACCCCTTTTAACAAGTACTAAGCAGTTCAGAGAAATGGGATTTAAAGGTATCAAAGCACCCCATTATGTTGTTTTGTCTAATTAGTAAAGATCTTGTTGGAAATTTTCAGAGTTAATACCTTAGCAATCTCTGGAAATGCCTCTGTGCTTTATTGAAGTTAAAAGGGTGGACTTTAGTGGAGACAGGATGGTGGTAAGTAAATGTCATATTCTTTTCATTGCCCTTTAGTTTACAGTTTAGGAAAAATCTAACATTTCTTTTCATCTGACTCCAATCTTTTCGTACCCTTTTTTTTGAGACAAGGTTTTGCTATGTGGTTCAGGCTGGCCTTGAACCCACTTTGTAGCCCAAGCTGGCCTCAGACTTACTGCAATCCTCCTGCCTCAGCCTCCTGAGTGCTGGAATTGCAGGCATGTGCCCCCACACCCAGTTTGATACATTTTTTTTTTTTTTGCACACATTTGTATACTCTAAATCTTGGTTAAATTATTTCAAAATGCCCATCTACTTTTCAGTAAGCTTTGCTGTTCTTAATGTGAAATAGGTTTTGTTTTGTTTCCATTGGTAGGTTTTCTTTGAATTAGAGCTTCTTGGCCTTATTTTTACCAAAATAAGAGGAATTAAAAAAAAGAAAGAAAGAAGAAAGAGTTGCAAGAATCAGGAAAATTTTGTGTTTACTTGGGTACTTTTGACTTATTAATTGGTTGAAGAGAAGATGTTCTTTGTTATAACCTCCATGGGGACTGCAGATTCTTTTTATGGTCTTAACATTACAAATACCCAAGACCTAAGTGTCAGGTTGCCAGTACTAAAATTACAAACCTAGTTTCCTAAGGGAAGAAAGATAACACTCTTTATACAGTCTTGTCTCTTAGAATGTGTATATATTGTGTGGAAGCAGGGGAAGGTCCTTGTGTGCTTGTGTGTTTTGTAATCTTGATGGCTTTGTGGTATAGAACTCTTACTTTGTTTTAGGACTTATCATTGTAGATTTTATTTGATTAGTCATACAGCCCTCATAGGAGTCACAAGATATGAAATATCCTGCAGCTAATGGATCTATTCTACATAAATTTTTTATTGTCTGAGGTTAATTTCAGTGATGAGAAGGCATGAAAATTTGTAATTTAGTTGGAAAACGGAAGTGGGACTGAGATCAGGTATTGATTTAACCATAGTCATATTTGTTCATATTGTGTTAATCATTTGGGATATTTTCTTATTTGAACTCATTTTGTCTTAATCTCCATAATTTACTTTAAAGAACAATGTTGTATGGTTAAGTTTTGTTTCTTGCTGGAATTTTGTTCATTTGTATCGGTGTTCTTTGTGGACTTCTTTTCCATATAAGCCAGTTATTCAAGTGATTAATTTGTACTACCTTCTTCATTTTCATTTTTATCGGTACCGGGGATTGAACTCACGACCGCCTGCTTGCAAGGCAGGTGCTTATGCCGCTGAGCTAAAGCCCCAGCCCCAATTTGTACTACCTTATGAAGACTAGTCAGAAAGTCCTGCATTGGGGCATGGCAGTTCAGTCACCTGCAGAAAGTCTCAGTCACCAATTTTATCTCTGCCCTCTAGATGGATTCCCTTCTATAGAGACCAAGAGACCCTGACACCTGCTCAGTGGGTACAAGAGGGCTCTCCTTCCTGGTACTCTAGGGTTGAGAAGCAGCCTCTGGAAATTGATCCAGTGTCATCATTCTGACCACAAATTTCTTTAGATTACAAAGCAGAAGTATGTTTGTATTTCATAGGTATTGAGCATTTCAAGATCTGGCCATTTGGTAGGGATTCTTCTTGTTTTCTGTTACCGTGACTAGAAGATGGTGCAGGATCTTTGCCAATCCTCATCACTAATACATGAAACAAACTACCTCTCCTTCTTTGAAACTTGAAAAATGTGTAGGTAGTGAACTCAATTTTCTTTTCGTTTTTTTTTTTTTTTTTTTTTTTTGTATTTTTACTGGTACCAAGAACTCAGTTTTATAAGTCCTTAGTTTTTCTCTTTTTTTTTTTTTTGGTCTTTTTTCTTTTTTATCGGTACCAGGGATTGAACTCATGACCACACACTTGCAAGGCAGGCACTTATGCCACTGAGCTAAATCTCCAGCCCCTAGTCCTAAGTTTTTCTCTTCCTGCTGTTTCACGGTCCTGTGTTTCCATGTCAGGTACTCTTGTTGTCTTTTCAGTGGTTCCCTTCCTGTTGGACTCCCCTGAGACTTGCTTCTTGGTATTTAGATTGTCCATTTTTCTCACCATTACTGATAATACAAACTTCTTCACAAGACCTGTATTCTTTCTTTGGGGGCGGATAGTGGGTACCGGGGATCAAACTGAGAACTGTTTTATTTTGTTTTGTTTTTTGGTCTGTTTGAGACAGAGTCTCTCTGCAGTTCAGGTTGGCCAAGAGCTCACTTTGTAGCCTAGGCTGGTCTCGAACTCACAATGATTCTCTTGCCTCACCTCCCTATTGCTGGGATTACAGGCATGAACCACCACACCTGGCTGAGAACTGTATTCTTTTACTCAGAGTGACGCTCAGTGATGAAGCACTTGCCTAACATGCACTGGGCCCTGGTTTGAGCCTCAGTACCCCCCACCAAATACATATGCAGGTTATATGTTTGGAGTAGCTTTTTCAGAAATGAATTATTACAATGAAGGGCATTTATACTGTGTATTTTGCATAGTTGAAGAATGTAGTTGGCAAGTTCTTAATGTACTTGTGTTTCCATAGCCTCATCAACATGATCACTTTTATTTTTGCCACTTTAATACTGTACATACCTGAGAGAGTCAGGGTTAGATACCTAAGAATTGTGGTTTTAATTCTCCATTGTTTATAAGCCTGGTGATTTACTGTTTACATTTTCTGTGTATAAAAATGAGCTTTTCTCCTTTGAGTCCTGATTAAATATAATAGGAATTGGCTTTATATAATTATATTATTTTAATACAGTTTCTGTTACTTTTTTCTTTGTTAAACATTGTAGCCTTACATATTCAGCACGTCTTCTGAGTAGGTACAAATTTTCTTCCTCTCACAACTTGTATAATTTTTTTGTTTTCTTCTGTTTGTTATGTGTTTAATTCTTTGACTTGCATATGAAATGGAATGAAAATGACTCCTATGTGGTTTTTAGATTTTTAGTGGTCACTAACTAGTGACTTTTTTCCTGTTCAATGTATTTTTAAACCTGATAGCGTTATATCAAGATACGTATTTTTGTAGGTGAATTCTGCTTATTTTGCCTGCTTATTTTTGTAGGTGAGTTCTGATTTCAGTTTGCCAAGTTCCAAAAACTGCAGGAATTTTTAATCAGTGATATATTAAAGCCTTTTCTCTTTTTCCTGAGAAGTTTTGTCTTGTTTCATTTTACTTTTTGTGTATAGTACAAAGAATTGCACTCAGGGTACTCTACCACTGAGCTACATCCGCGGCCCTTTTTTATTTTGAGACAGGGTCTCACTAAGTTGCCCAGGTAATACTTGAACTTTGAAGCATCCCACCTCTGCCTCCTCCAGGTGTGTGTTATCTTTATTTAGTGCTGTCAATAAAGGATTAGATGTGTCTTTCCTGTTACATCTTTTAGTCATCCTCTATTCAGTATTTGTATGTTTCATAATTCGTTAATATCCTGAGCTGACTTTTAACACGTTTCAAATGTTTTGCTAGTTTTGTAAATTTACCTTTCTCTTTACTGGAATTTCCACATTAATGACCATGGTAATGGGAACTCAGTCGATTTTTTCCCCCTTACAACCTGCAGCTTTTCTCAGTTCATTTACTGTGACTGTTGTTTTGCGTTGATTTCCTAGGATTGTGATCATGCTATACACAAAGATGCTATTCTTGTTTTTTTATTTCTGATGTATTATTTATCTAATCATTTTCCTTTGTTGTTAGTCACTAACCTTTCTAGCCTTGTAGCTTGTAGAAGGGTAGACTGGAAAGGCCTTTTGATGTTAGCACTTAAAAAGAAATTGACTCTTAGTGCTTTACACAGTTATAATGTTAGTGCTTTGTAATTTTACAATACATTATTAAAAAGTAATATGTAATTATAGATATTCAACTTTTTATAACAAATACTTGGTTTAAGTAAAGAAAGTCTATCACTTTCTCCTTACAATATTTCTAAATTTTATCCACTCCTGAATAATCCTTACCTTAGTCACAACAGACATTTTTCTCCCCAAAACACTCTTCACTCTCAAAAATAGTTTCTGATTAGAGTAGTTTTCCCTTGTCCTGCCAAGTGTACTTTGTGGTGACCTTTAGTGTTTCTTCAAGCATACCACACAGACCGAAACCCTGCTGGGGCTGACCAGGGATCCCAAGAGGCCTTTTGTTCACCAGTGAGGTGAATTAACCTGTGATGGAATAGCCCCACACAAAAGCTCCCATATCCCAGGTTTTGGTGCTAGCACAAAAGGTTTTCCTTTCAGATCTTGGGCATATATTTATTTTTGTGGATAAGTAGTAACTGAACTAGGGCTTCATATATGCTAAGTAGGCATTCTACCATTGAGCTACACCTCTAAACCAATACTAGTGTTTTTTTAAAAATACATTTACGTATTTTGGTTTTGAAGTCAAAACTGGGTTTTTTTGTTGTTTGTTTGTTTGTTTTTATGGTGCTGGGAGTACAACTCAGGGTCTCAAAAATGTTAGGTCAATGTTGTATCACTGAGCTATGCTCCCAGCACAGCATTTTGCTGTTCTTTTGTTTTCTGAAATGGGTTTCTGCCATGTAATCCAGGCTGGTTTTGAGCTCTCTAGGTAGCCCAGGCTGGCCTAGAATTTGAAATCTTTGTTCCTTAGCCTTCCAAATACTAAGGTGTGCACCTCTGGTTTCAGCACTGGTCTTCTAAAAGCTGGGGACAGCTAGCATTCCTCTTCGTGAGTGAAAAAAGTCACTCTCTTATCCCATGAATGGGTTTTTAAATTTTTTTATTTTAAAATGATTTTAGATTTTTGGCAATTTGCAAAAATAGTATCAAGAGGTACTGTGAACCCTTCACCTGGTTTCCACAGGGGAAACAGCTTGCAGAACACATACCTCTGCTTGTCATGATGACACTCACCTTATAATCTCAGCACTCAGGAAGCTGAGGCAGGAGGATTGCTATGAATTTGGGGCCAGCCTGGGCTATGTGGTGAGTTTAAGGTCAACCTGGGCTACATAGCAAGACCCTGTCTCAAAAAAAAGAAGGATATGTACTTTGTAATTTTTTTGGTGAAGGTGGGACTCAAACTCACGACCTTGTGCTTACCAGGCAAGCACTTGAGCCACTGAGCTAAATTCCCAGCCCAGGATATATATTTTGATGCTTCCTAAATAGTGCTGGGTTTTTGGCATGTCCTTAGCCCATGGTGCACTTGCACAAAGTTTAGATGACAGGATTAAATGATGAGATTTTTGTCCTTGTTTTACCATTACCACTTTATTACAAAGGTACTTAAGACATCGCAGCTGTAATCCTTTGTAAAATGAGGGATTCACTGCAGTGGCACACACCTGGAATCCTAGTTAGTCAGGAGGCTGCGGTGGGAGGATCTCCAGTTTGTGGCCAGGTAGGGCGATTCAGTGAGTCTGGAAACAAAAACTACAAAAGCCTGGGCATGGTAGCTAAGGCCTGCACTGCCAGCATTCTGAAAGGCCGAAGCAAGAGGACTGCAAGATCCTGCCCAGCTTTGGCAACCTAGTGACTTAGTGAGACCTTGTCTCAAAGCAGAGGCTGAGGAGGTAGCTCAGTGTGAAGGTCCTCAGTGTTTCTCACACACACACACCCCAGAAAGTGGATTTAAGAGCAGAACAATCAGACAAGATCATGCGTGCTTGTAATCCCAGCAGTTCATAATGAGACCCCATCTTAAAATGATAAGATAATTTATCCTCATTACTAATACATAACAGAGAGCTTCTTATGCATGAATATGATTTATAATTGTGATCTTTGCTAGAAATGTGTCTTAATTTCTAAAATTACTAGGATGAAGAGCACTGTCAATTTTTGTATTAATTTGTTTCAGTATTGCATGGCTTAATATTTTACATGATGTATCTGAATAAAATGATCAGTTACATAAGAAATATGTATCTGTGTAGATCTGTGCTTGTTGTTTTGTGGGCAAAGAAAAAATATCCCAAATTGGAAGCGTTGCAGAATTATATCTAGGATTAACCTTAGTCTGAGGGATCATACTGTCATCCTGAGAGAACTGCTGTATTCCACAGTCTCCTTCCCATAAATACTCGTTCCACTTAAATCCTCTTGCATACAGCCTGTTTGAATTTTCTATTTCTTTCATTTAATTGCTAGGCTAAAGCCCTCCCTTATTCATGCAGCCTTTGTCTGCATCGGCTTTGGGATCAGCAGCTGACCCTGGTCTCCTCGCACCAAGTTAAGCTGGAAATGCAGAGAGTTATAAAGTAATACAGAAAGGGACAGTGCTCCATCCATGATAAAGTGCACATGAATACCTCATACTTACAGGTTTTTTTCTCCTTCCCTTTGCTCTGTCTTCTCAAATTGCTGATTTTCTCACACCTGGTGATGCTTCTCTCCCATGCCCGTCCTTGATATTTCTCCGAAGTTTTGTGCACCGAGGGCAGCCTGAGCCTTTGGATCTTCACTTGGGCATGTTCCTGCCCACCTTGCTTCAACAGGCCACCGCGGAGCAGCAGGAGCGCTTCTTCATGCCTGCCTGGAATTTGGAGATCACTGGCACTTATGCCCAGACAGAGATGGGTCATGGTACGGTGCATTTAGTCTTACCTTCTAGGTGGGCGGGCACCTACCAGCTGGGCAAGTATGTAGTGCTCACCATGTGCAAGTGGCACACCGGTGTACTGTGATCTGTTGAGATGAGCTGGGAGCATGGATGCTAGTTCAGGTGGTGGAAATTCAAGGTTGTTATCACAGTGTTTTGCTGATTATTTTTTTCATGGTTCTCATTCAGAAGGTCAAGAATGATAAGTTAGGCCATAAGTACCAAATGAGTTTTGCACTGACACGAGTTGTATAGCTTCTGTACACATAGATTTGAACCCATCTATTTTCTTCATTCCTGATTACTCTTGATACTGTGACTTACTTAAGGCAACAAGTAGCATATTATAGACAAAATGTGTAACATCTTGTGCCTGTTTGTATCTTGATTAAATTCACAAAAGTTTCTTTCCTTAAGTTTTTTAAAATTTTTGTCCTGGTGCTGGGCATCAAACCCCAAGCCTCATGCACGCTAGGCAAGTATTTTCCTAATTGAGCTATACCCAAGTCCTCAGGACAGTCCTGAAGGTGGCTTGGCCAGAGATTAGAAAGATTAAGGTAAGCTTGCCTGGCAAGCACAAGATCATGAGTTTGATCCCCAATACCAAATAAATAAATAAACAAACTATATTTTCAGGCATTTGGCTTTAAAGTCTTTATACCTAGCACCTCTTGCCACTTTCTGTCTGCTTTTCTTCATGAATCTAGAAAGGTTGTAGGTGGTAGCTATAGCTCTTAGTCATTAGTTCCCAAATTGGTGTTCTCTGTTTGTCAATCATCACTTCCGCCTTTTTTTCTGCTTTGAGGTTTCAGAAAATCTAGTGTGTATTCCTTTTGCCTCTTGCTCTTTAGTGCCATACAACTGCTTCTTAGGCCATGCTGAGTAGTATCTAGGGTTTTCACAGTACTAATCAGTTCAGTTGTGCGTTTGAAAACACTTTGCCTTTATCTGACCTGTTGAATGTCTTATCTTTTTCTGTAAAAGCTTCTTTGGTGTAAGGAATCTTAAGTGTCTTTTTTTTTATTTCTACTCTGGAGAAATTAGCCATTTCTGTCTCTCAACTTGGAAGTTTCTGAAGTTTGAAAGTTCTCAGTGATGTCTAACATTATCCAAGTAGTTTGGTAAAAGTTCCCCATCAGTATAACATTATCAGAGAGTAGCACCAACATCACTTCCTTTAAGACTAAAGAATTTTTGCATATTAATACAAGGATTTAAAGCAAAAGTCCCCTTTTAGCACCAGTGGACTCATGAAACCAGGCATTTTTCCTCATCACATTCACAAGCCAGCTAGGACTAAATTAGGACCTGGCGTTAGAAATTTGTGGGGTAAAATCGTTAGAAGAATTATAAAAAGTTACTTTTCTATGTTTTCTCTTACAATGAATACACCTTTATAAGTTTTAATTTTGCTCTCCAGCAATCATTCTGAAGAAATTCTCATTTACGGACGTCTTAACTAAAGTCTTTCCTATACATGATGTTATTCTTTTTTTTTTGTCTTTTTCCTCTTTATCGGTACCGGGGATTGAACTCATGACTGCCTGCTTGTAAGGCAGGCGCTTATGCCGATGAGCTAAATCCCCAGCCCCATACATGATGTTATTCTCAGTAGTACAGAACTGTGGGGTGTTGAGTTGGTGTAGTAAATATAGTTCATGTGACTTCAAATTGATACACTTGAAATTTAGAGATAATCTAAGCATAAAAGAACAATAAACATCCCTGTTGGGTTAATACGTTGTGATTTTAGGAAAATATGATTCTAGGCTGCCTTTATATTTTCCTTTGATCTAAATAAATGTTACAAAATCTAGGAATCAAATATAGGAATAAAAACCAGGGATTTAACTCAATGGCATAAGCGATTGCTTAGCAAGCACAAGGTCGTGAGTTCAATCCCCAGTATCCCCCTCAAAAAAAGTAACCTGTTAAAATTCAGTCAAATATAGGAATAAAATGTATATGGCACATTTTCAACCTATTGGGAAACTATTTGCTACTATAAAAAATTAAAGTATTGGGGCCTGGGATTTAGCTCAGTGGCATAGGTGCCTTCCTGGCAAGTGCAAGGTTTTGAGTTCAATCCCTGGCACACAAAAAAAAGTGTCTTTGTTGCCAGCCATTCACAGCTCATATACAAATGTATTGTTAGATTCTGTTTTTCTCTGAGATACTAGAGCTTAAGGGACTGGGCAGGACATTTTTACTTTGCATGTATTTTTTTCTCCATGTTATATCTAAGAAAAATATAATTTATTTCCTTAGGAACTCATCTTCGAGGCTTGGAAACCACTGCCACATATGATCCCAAAACCCAAGAATTCATTATCAACAGTCCTACGGTTACCTCCATTAAGTGGTGGCCTGGTGGGCGTAAGTAGATTTGGTAACATTTGTTGGTGTTGGATGTTTCACAAGTAAGAAATTGTATTTACATGTAAAGTGCATCATTTTGAAATAGAAATACTGGAGACTTAAACTGTTTTAAGCTATTTCACCTGTTCTGGTACATGTTACATATGTGTATGTGTGTGTGTTTTTATTTATTTATTTATTTAACTGATAGCATAGAAATGGTGGATATTTTATGCTTCTTTTCTCAAATTTTCATCAGATATTCCCATTATTACCATTCCTTTCACAGACCTCATTTAAAATAACAGTATTGGGGCTGGAGGTTTAGCTCAGCGGCATAAGCATCTGCCTTGCAAGCAGGCAGTCTTGAGTTCGATCCCTGGTACCGATAAAAAGGAAAAAGACAAAAAACAAAAAAAAAAATGAAATGCAATAACAATATTGAGCCAAGGATTTAACTCAGTGGCACAGCACCTGCCTGCCAAGTGCAAGGTTGTGAGTTTGATTCTTGGTGCCAAAAAAAAAAAAAAAAGTTTCCTATTCATCATTTTCATGTTGCCAAACATTTGAATAGTTTTTTTATTATAAATCATTCTGGGGGCTGGTGATTTAGCTCAGCGGCATAAGCACCTGCCTTGCAACCAGGCAGTCGTGAGTTCGATCCCCGGTACTAATAAAAAATGAAAAAGACCAAAAATAAAAATAAAAAAAAATCATTCTGACATGAAAATTTTTGGAATCTTCCCTTTTTTAAATTATTTATTTATTTTTAAAATCTTCTTTCATCAGGTTATTGTCATATATATTTCAGATGGAGTTAGTAATTAAAGTGATTTTATTGTGTATATATATATATATATATATATATATATATTTTTTTTTTTTTTTTTTTTTTTTTTTTGTCTTTTTCCTTTTTATCGGTACCGGGGATCGAACTCATGACTCCCTGCTTATAAGGCAGGCGCTTATGCCGCTGAGCTAAATCCCCAGCCCCTATTGTATATTTTTATTAATGCAACATTAATAAGAAATGCAACATTGATAAGAAAAAAACTAGCATACAAAAAATGATTAAGTGCAGCCTGGGGATTTAGCTCAGTGGCGTACCTGCCTGGCAAGTATGAGGTCGTGAGTTTGATCTCCAGTACCAAAAAAAAAAAAAAGTAACTGCATATGCTAACCAAAAAGCTATCCTGTACTGTAGAACTTTCTGCAATGATGGAAGTATTTTCTATTTTTGCTTTATTGTGTGGTTGACACTAGACAGGTATAGCTGTTGAATAGGTGAAATATTCCTGCTTGACTGGAGAACTGAACCTTTTACAGTATTTAGTCACAATTTAAATCTAAACACCACACGTGGGTATTGGCTGTGGTTTTGGACAGCACTGGCTTAAGGGACAAAAAGACAGTAAATTTAAATGAGTGGAGTTTTTTTGTCATTGCTTTCAGTATTGGTTTCTTTTGTTTGTTTATTTGTTTGTTTGGTGCCGGGGATCGAACTTATAACTACTTGCAAAGCAGGTGCTTATGCCCAGCCCCAGTATTGGTTTCTTTGGTCTTACTATGTAGTTCAGACTGGACTGAACTGCAGTCTCCCTGCCTCAGCCTTCCAAGTGTTTGGATTAGCAGTTTGTGCCACCATGCCCAGCTTCATAAGTTAGTGTTCTTATCATTACCCAAAATTTTTCTTTAAGTGGTAGAACAAACACTACAGCTAGCTTTTTAAAAATCACTTTGCCAAGATTCAATAAACTTCAGTAACTATGTGCTTAAGTGACTTGTTTCTAGGAGCTAGAGAAAGACTTGTCTTAGAAAAGTCTTTCCCGCTGGGCATGGTGGCTCACGCCTGTAATCGCAGCACTCGGGAGGCTGAGGTGGGAGGATCGCTGTGAGTTTGAGACCAACGTGGGCTACAAAGTGAGCTCAAGGCCAGCCTGAACTGCATAGCAAGACCCTGTCTCAAAAAAGACCAAAAAAAATTTTTTTTTCTTAAAAAGTCTTGCCCATACTATATTGCTCTAGCAATGTGCCTACTTTTTTTTTTTTTTTGGACTCAAACTCACGACCTTGTGCTTGCCGGGTAGGCACTGTGCCACTGAGCTATCTCTCTGGTCATAGCAACATGCTTTTGTCCACTCTTCTTTTTCTTCCTGTTAAAAATGGAGAAACATCTGCTCACCTCTTTATCCTGTTGTGTTTGATGTTGCAGTTGGGAAAACGTCAAATCATGCAATAGTTCTTGCCCAGCTCATTACTCAGGGGAAGTGCTATGGGTTACATGCCTTCATTGTACCTATTCGTGAAATAGGGACCCACAAGCCCTTGCCAGGTAAGGATTGTCATCTGATACTTTGTTAAAAATTAAACTAAGTATTTTCTCTGCAAAAAGTGTAAGGTGTTATACTGCATAGGAGGAGGGAAGGCCAAAATTCAAGAGCATAAGTATCTCATGTCTTTTCTGTCATCTCTGATAGGTATTACTGTGGGAGACATTGGTCCTAAATTTGGCTATGAAGAGATGGATAATGGCTACCTGAAGATGGACAACTATCGTATTCCCAGAGAAAACATGCTCATGAAATATGCCCAGGTATATTTAGACAGGGAACAGAAGCAGGATACCTGGAATGGGGTTGTGGTAGTTGGAATAGCCATGGGGCTGGAACAGTGTGTGTTTTTTAGGTGACAGTGTTTTTACTTCTGGGACTTCTTTTATTGCCATATTAAAATCAGAAGCAGTTGTCAGGGTAAAAAACATGACCTGGATCCACCTGTATTCTCAAGCTTTTACTGCCTCGGGACTGGGCAGTGAGAACCCAGGGTTTCTGACCAGTAGGTCGGAGTAGGGACTGAGAGTCAGCATGTCAAGACAGTCGGCTGTGTCATGCTGATGCTGCCATCCCAGGGGCCACGCTTGGAGAACTGCTAAACTGACACTATGCTTACATCAGGAGACATCAGTGCTGTCTTGTTCTTGCAGGTGAAGCCTGATGGCACATATGTGAAACCTGTGAGTAACAAGCTGACTTACGGGACCATGGTGTTTGTGAGGTCCTTCCTTGTGGGAGCAGCAGCTCAGTCTCTCTCCAAGGCATGCACCATTGCCATCCGATACAGCGCCGTGAGGCACCAGTCTGAAATCAAGCCAGGGTGAGCGTAGGGCCTGAGGGGGGCTCAGTGCCTGAGATTGGTGTTGACCTCATTCACATATCCATACTCTCAAGCATGGGTAGAGAAGACCCATTGCTGTTCAAAGTGAGCTTGGGTGCTACTGAAGGGGCTTCCTTTATTTAAGAGAAAAGATGGGAATAATAACCTGATCTCTTCCTCAGGCCTGCCAGGTAAGCACTGAGCTACAATTAGCCTATTTTTAACCTAAGAAAAAGAGCCAGGCATGTGGACTCATGTGTATACTGTAACCCCAGCACTCTGGGAGGCTAAGGCAGAAGGATCAAAAATTTAAACCCAGTCTAGGCAACTTCATGATATAGTGATCCACTGCCTCAAAATTAAGACATAAAAGGAAGAATTGAGGTGTAGCTTGGTGTGAATGCTCTGCTTTCAATCTTCCAGTGTAACCCTCTAAAAATAATAATAATAACTACTACTATAGTGTATGATGAAATTGATGTTAAACTTGATTCCCTTAAGGAGTCAAGAAAATGCAGGTAGAGTTGTAGCGCGGTGGTTAAGTGCTTGCCTAACACACATGGGAGTTTGATCAACACAGCAAAAAAAAAAGGAAAAGTTCAAAGCAAACTTTTGAAAATCTTTTTTTTTTTTTTTTAGACAGTTTCACTGTACAATTCAGGCTGGATTTAAACTCACAGCAGTCATACTGCCTCAGCCTCCTAAATGCTGAGATTACTGAGATTACAGGCATGCACCACCACACTGTTAATTCTTTTTTTTCTTTTTTGGTAAATTATTTGGTATGTTTGTTTGGGACCTGAAATGGAACTCAGGACCTTATGCATTCTGGGAAGGGGCTGCACTACTGAGCTAAATCCCCATCCCTGTTGGTTTTTTTTTTTTTTTTTTTTTTTTTTTTTATCGGTACTGGGGATCGAACTCACGACCACCTGCTTGCAAGGCAGGTGCTTATGCCACTGAGCTAAATCCCCAGCCCCTGGTTAATTTCTTTTTTTCTTTTTCTTTTTTTGGTACCAGGGATCAAACTCACAACCTCGCACTTGCCAAGCAGGCACTTATGCTGTTGAGCTAAATCTCCAGCCCCAATATTTGTTAATTCTTATTTCTAAAAATATTTATCACTAGCTGGGTGTGGTGGCACCCATTTGTAATCCCAGTTTTGGGAGATTTAGGCAGGAGGATCGCTGCAAATTCAAGGACAGCCTGGATTACACAGTGAGACTCTTTAAAAAAAAATGAGCCAGGTGTGGTGATACCCATCTGGTAATCCCAGCACTCTGAAAGGCAGAGACAAGAGAATCCCAAATTCAGGCCCACTCTGAGCAACTTAGTGATTTAGTGAGTTCTTAAAGTAATGAAGGCAGGGCCAGGGATTTAGCTCAGCCGCATAAGTGCCTGCCTTGCAAGCATGCAGTCTTGTGAGTTCAATCCCTGGTACCAAAAAAAAAAGACAAAGTAATGAAGGCCTCAGGGTATAGCTAAATATAGAAGCCCTGTGTTAAATCCTCAGTCCCCTTCTACACACACAGATTAAACATTGGGTTTTCTCTGAGCTTGTGGTCAAAGTCCATTTTATTCAGTCCTGTGGTGTGCTACTTTTTACTGTAGCATTTTTCTAAGGTTAAATAGCTTTAATTGGCTTTTTGGTTTTTTTTGTGTGTGTATGTGTTTTTGGGTTTTGTTTTGTTTGTTTCTTTTAGACAGGGTCTCACTATGTAATTCAGGCTGGCCTTCAATTTATTGTGTAGCCCAGGCTGGCTTTGAATTCTCTGTGATCCTCCTGCTATAGCCTCCCAAGTGCTAGGGTTACAGGCATGTGTCACCTAGCTCAGTTTAACTATGTGGGTAGGGGATTTAGCTCAGCAGCGCAGTGCCTGCCTGGCAAGTGTGAGGTTCTGAGTTTGATTTCTGATACACAAGAGAGAGAAAGAGGGTTTTAATGTGCAGTCCTGTCTGGTTTTGAACTTGTGATCCACCTGCCTGAGCTTCCCAAGTGCTAGGATTATAGATGTGCCCAACCGTACCCCATTCAGACAGGTTCTTATCCTCTTAGTCTCCCCATTTATAAAACAAGGATAATAATAGTTACCTAACATAGTTATCTCTATGAGAATTAAGTTAATATTTCAAAGGGCTTAGACTAAAACTTGGCATATAACAAGTTTTGTGTAAGCGTTTACTTATTGTGTCTTTTCCTATATGATTTAGTGAACCAGAACCACAGGTTTTGGATTTTCAAACACAGCAGTATAAGCTCTTTCCAATCCTGGCTACCGCCTACGCCTTCCAATTTGTAGGCAGTTATATGAAGGATACCTACCACCGGATTAATGAGAGCATTGGCCAGGGGGACCTGAGTGAACTGCCTGAGGTATGTGTTCAGTCTCATTTCCTTGGGGGCGTCCTTCTGCTTCATGCATGTACAACACCCAGAGGAAACTGCATGCTAAGATTTCTTTCAAAGAATTAGATATTGTTAGAATGTCCTGATTGAAAGTGGATCAGGTGTGAAGATTGGATTTGTTTTGTTTCTTCTTTTTTTTTTTTTTTGGTCTTTTTCCTTTTTATCGGTACCAGGGATCGAACTCACGACTGCCCGCTTACAAGGCAGGCACTTATGCCGCTGAGCTAAATCCCCAGCCCCTTTGTTTCATTTTTTGAGGCAGGGTCTCACTAAGTAGTTCAACCTGGGCTTGAACTTACGGCAGTCCTCTTGCGTCGGTGTCAGCCTCCTGAGTGCTGGGATTATGTGCTTGTACCACCATACCTGGCAAGACAGGATTTTTTTTTTGTCTTTTTCCTTTTTATCCGTACCGGGGATCGAACTCACGACTGCCTACTTTACAAGGCAGGCGCTTATGCCGCTGACCTAAATCCCCAGCCTCGCAAGACAGGATTTTTAACTGTGGATTTTAAAAAAAACAAAAGTATTGAAACATATGGTTCATTTGTCAGTCAGGGTAACATAAAAAATGGTGACTCTTTGCCAAGCAAAACAGCTTTGCAAGGAGTGTGGGCATGTTGCTGATTCAGGGCAGTTACAGGCCTGTGGCAGCAGTGTCATGTGCAGCAGCCAGTGGGAAGGACCAGTGCTGTCGGGAGAAGATGTATTCTTTCTCACAGGGACTTGGACCCCAAGCAGCACAGTTGTGCTCATAACCTGTGCGTGTCTCCTCAGCTGCATGCCCTCACTGCCGGTCTTAAGGCTTTCACCACCTGGACTGCAAATGCTGGTATTGAAGAGTGTCGACTGGCTTGCGGTGGGCACGGCTACTCTCACTGCAGTGGTATTCCAAACATTTATGTCACTTTCACACCAGCTTGTACTTTTGAAGGAGAAAACACTGTCATGATGCTACAGACAGCCAGGTGAGAATCAAGTTGTGCTTTCTCAGAGTCCCATTGCCGTGCTTCCTTACTGAATAGATGTCTGTCTGTCCTTGAAAAGCATAGTTCATCAGGTCCTGTTTTCATCAAGACTCACTGATTTGATTTTGTCAAATTAGCAAGTATGACATACCTGTCACATGGCCTATAGTCATTTCAGAGTAGAGTTACAAAAAGCATGTACCTGGTGATTTTTAGGTTCCTGATGAAAGTCTATGACCAAGTGCAATCAGGGAAGCTGGTGCATGGCCTGGTGTCCTACTTGAATGACCTGCCCAGTCAGCGCATCCAACCACAGCAAGTGGCGGTCTGGCCAACCGTGGTGGACATCAACAACCCTGACAGCCTGACAGAAATATACAAGCTTCGTGCAGCCAGGCGAGTTTGCCCTCGATGCTAGGAGCAGCAGCCTTGGGGGGATGGCTGGGTAGATGAGGAGGGTGCCACTGTGGATCATTTTGTCACATGTTTACTTTTCCTTCTCTTCTTAACAGGTTAATAGACATTGCTGCTAAAAGCCTTCAGGGTGAAATGAGTCACAGAAAGAGCAAGGAAGTAGCATGGAACCTCACTTCTGTTGGCCTGGTTCGAGCAACTGATGTCAGTGGGGTTCTCTCCCCTATTCCTGCCCTTGCCCTTGTTATTTCTTGGTCAGCGTGTCAGATCTGTCCCCAGGGCTCCTCACTGCTGTTCTTTTTTATCTAGGCACATTGCCACTATGTAGTAGTTAAGCTCTTTGCCGATAAACTCCTAAAAATTCAAGATAAAACCATCCAAGCCGTCTTAAGGAATTTGTTTCTCTTGTATTCTTTGTATGGAATTAGTCAGAAGGCAGGAGATTTTCTACAGGTCAGTATTTTTTTAAAGAAAATTAATTGCCATTATTTTATAGTCTTATGTATATTAATACCTGTCTGCATATGTATTTTTATTTACTTGTTTTTGTTCCTTTTTTTAGGGAAACATTATGACAGGGTCGCAGATTACTCAAGTAAACCAGCGTGTATTGGAGTTGCTTGCTGTAATCCGCCCTAATGCTGTTGCTTTGGTGGATGCATTTGATTATAAGGATATAACACTTGGCTCTGTTCTTGGCCGTTATGATGGGAATGTATATGAAAACTTGTTTGAATGGGCCAAGAAATCCCCACTGAACAAAACAGAGGTGAATAATAATCTTTCCATTTTCTTTTTTTTTTTTTAGTGGGGGGGCAGTGTTCCATTTCATTTCCTTTTGATTTGTTTTGTTCTGTTTTGTTTTTGAGTCAGGGCTTCACTACACGGTTCAGGCTGTTTTTGAACTCTGTAGCCCAAGCTGGCCTCAAATTCTTGGCAACTTTCCTGGATCAGCCTCCCAAGTGCTGGTTACAGGTGTGGGCCACCCACCACTACCTCTTTCACCTTCTCAAGCCTTCATTTACTCTTGCACTGCTAGGCATCCAGTCCCAGAGCCCCACACGCGTCAGGGGAGCTGTCTACCACTGACCATGCCCCTAGCCCACCTTAGTTCTTCATTTCAGTGAGACAGAAAAGGCCTCCAGAAAGCAGTTCTTCTGTAAAAGCCCCAGAAGCTCTGTGGCCACTTAATTGAAGCAACAGTTCAAAAAAGGAAGCTGGGTCATTCTACAGTAAGCGAGATTTTCATTTCCTTGATTTTTTTTTTTTTTTTTGACTGTGGGTTGATCCCAGAGCATTTCCACTGAACTACGTCCCCAGCCCTTTTTTAAAAGACTCTTTTTTGAGACAGGTTCTCACTACAACTGGGCTCAGTGCTGAAATTACAGGCATCTATCACCGTACTCAGCAAAGAAGTCTATTAATCAGCTTTCCCATCACTGGGGCAAAATACCCAACAGCTGCAATTTAAAGGAGCAGGAATTTATTTTGGCTCAGTTTTAGTGGGTGTGTTTAGTGGCTAGTCACTGTGTGGCAGTACATCATGGCAGAGGTCATAGACAAGAAGCAGAGAAAGGAGCCAGGGGCTTCCAGGTCACACCTACAGTGACTTGGCTTTTCTCCCCAAGCCCTGTCTCCTGACAGTTCATCCAGCTACTAAACTCATCAACGATGAATCCATTGATGATCATAAGCATCATAGGCACCCCAGGACCAGTGACCCTCCAAACACATGAGACTTTTAGGGGACATAACAGACTTACTAAAAACAACTGCAGCCTGCTACCTCAGCATTCAGGAGGTTGAGGCAGAAGGATTGCAAATTCAAGGCCAGTCTGGGCTGTACAGCAAGAACCTGTCTCCAAAAAAACAAGTACGCTCTTTTACACGGCCAGCTGCTTACCAGTATTTCCTCTCCCTTCCTGCAGGTCCACGAATCTTACCACAAGTACCTGAAGCCCCTGCAGTCCAAGCTCTGAAGTGCCATAAGGCCAAGTCTAACCTGCAAGGAGTAGCCGTATGTGGCTCCTGCTGCCTGATGTGCAAACCTGCACGGATGCTAGCAGATTCATATAGCGCAGAGCAAATGATAAATTCACCTTGTTCTCTTTTATTAAAAAAAAAAAAAAGCAGATTTCATAGATTAATTGAAAAAAGGATATGTTTTAAGTGCAATTAATACTGGAACCATTGTAAAACATTCAGAAAAAGTTTAGGAAACAGAGTGACATATTAAGGCTGCCAATCCTGGTAGGCCATGACTTTTGATAATTAGTGGAATTTAACTAACTCAGTGCTTAATTTTTTTTTCTGAGTACTTAAATTATTTTTACATTTTAATTGCTAATCACTGGCTGTATAAGCATTTGTGTTTTTGTTTTATTGGGTTTTTGCGGGGTGGGGGGTTGGTATCGGGGATTAAACTCACAACCTTGTGCTTGTCAAGCAGGCACTTACAGCACTGAGCTAAATCTCTGGCCTGTATAAGCCTTTTTAAGTAAAGGATTTTGGGGAAAAGGGATTGAGATATGTTCTCCCAGTGTAGTCCAGGCTGGCCTTGAACTCACAGGGATTCTCCTGCCTCAGCTTTAGGGATTATAGCTATGGGCCATCATCCCTTGCTCAAACAAAGGATTTTTTTGAGGAGGGCAGAACCCTTCTATGATTTCCTACAAAATAACCTACCACTCATTCCATGGGGCCTAGCTAAAACAACACTGAACAGGGGACTGGAAGAACTAATAGAAAACTCTGTGTGTGTGTGTCCACATTTGCAGCCTGCTTCCCTCCTATCTGGCTGTCATAGTGGAGTTTTCCAACAAGAGAATTTCTGCAGCACAGGCCCACAGGACCATTGTTTTGTTTAGTAGAATTACTCATTCAGGCGAGAGGCTGAGGCAGGAGGACCACTGTGAGTTTGAGGCCAGCCTGGGCTGCATAAGCAAATTCAAGACCCTACCTTAAAAACAAAAAATTTAAGAATTACTCATCCCTCTGAGAGATCTCCGGTTTGTCACTGTAATGACACTATAACTCCTTTGTCCTCTACTTGGGTAGCAACTTTATTTCTCTGGGGCCTCAAGTTGTGATGTTTGATTTCCTTTTTCTTTTGCCTTTTTCTGATACAAATAATGAACAGAGGAGGAAAAAAATCATTCCTTCTTATAAATACAGTAATTAAAAGGCGGGCCCTCAGCTGTGGCATTGCTGCAGTTTTGTCAACTTTATTAGCTAGATTTCCTAGGATAAGTCAGATTTCAAATATTTTTATCAGTTTGTTATAAGCCATTAAAATGTTTGGAGGTTACAAAGTATTTGACCTGAAAACTTAAAAAAAAAAACCACCTTTAACACACAGAAGTATGTGTTCTAGTTTGTGGTTCAGAAAATACAGTCTTAATACTGTAAATTGTACTGTTAATACTGTAGCTAAAAGATAAATGGAAGTTCCATAGATTGTTTCTTATTTAATGTCTGGCTTTGTATGGTTCCATGAGTTTTACCAGCACGGCTAAATTGTCCTTTCAGTTGAGATCTCACATACACAGTCATTTCTATTTTTAAAGAGTAAGGGCTGAAGATTTAGTTCAGTGGCACAAGCACATGCATGGCATGTGTAAGGTTGTGAGTTTAATCCCCAGTACCAAATAAAAGGACTAAAACACGTACCACTTAATGATTTATTTTTTTTATTTTTTGTGCCAGGGATTGAACCATACTTGTGCAAATGCTTGGGCTACTGAGCTAAACCCCTGGCATGAATTTTTTTTCTTAAAATCAATGCCAGACTTGTCACTTGATTTTTTTTTTTTTTTTGACCTGTTAACTACTTGTATCTGTGACATCTGCATCATCATGAAGCCCATTGCACTGGAATCAGCCCTGAAAATGTAGTACAATTCAGTGAAGACAGTTTCTGTTTAGCACTCACATAAAATCTATCCCAGGGATGTTGGTAACGTGAGACTTTGAGATCACAACGGAAGTGCTCTGTGCTCAGACAGGCTTAGTCTTTCCCCTTGGAGAACTGTTGATGGCATTAAGTTTGAAGATTGTCACTGCTTGTATATAGTAGTAGTTCAGAGTCTGAAAAAAATAATTCAAATCAATGACTTAATATTGATTGATCTGTTAAATGTGAAATTATTTCAAAATTAGTGTTTAGATATTGTACTTAGAGATGAATATTTGTGGGCAGAATCTCATGGTGTCTGAACTGAGTCACCTGATGAGGTACAGAGGTCTGGAATCTGTTGTAGCAGGTTTGAAGAGGTTGTAGACACTACAGAGCCACATGCGATCCAGCACCGTGAGATTTATTTAAAAACTAAATCTGACATTTGATACTAGTATTTTTATTAACAGTGGAATGTTTACTCTTGAACTTTGTTCATTGTAACCAGAGAATAAAGATAAAATAAAGCATACTGATTTGTACTTTTAAAAGATGTCACATGATTAAACATAAATTTAAGTCATGAAGGAATTTAAAATAGAGGTTTAACTATGGGAATCATAGAGATTCCTCAAAAACCTAAAACTAGGGGCTGGGGATTTAGCTCAGTGGCATAAGTGCCTGCCTTGCAAGCAGGGAGTCGTGAGTTTCATCCCTGGTACCGATAAAAAGGAAAAAGACAACAGAAACCTAAAACTAGAAATTCCATTCAACCAAGCTATTCCTCTTTACGCATCTTTCCCAAAAGAAAGATGACATACTTATAATGATATGTGCATGCCCTTGTTTGGTTTGTGTTTGGTTTTGTTGAGTCTTGCTGTGCAGTTCATGCTGGCCTCGAACTCATTATGTAGCCTAGGCTGAACTTGGACTCATAGCAATCCTCCCAAGTGCTGAGGTTACAGGTGTGCACCACCAATGCCCGCCAGATGGACCAGGGAAGAAGGGGAGGGATGGGATGAAGGAAGGAAGGAAGTGTGAGGTACACGGAGCAACACCACACAGGAAATATACACATGTAGGTAAACTTCATTAATAAAAATTTTAATGTTTTATTAGGTTTAAATTTTTTTAAAAAGGAAACCTTTCTGTAAGATAATACTGAGCCCTTTCAAAAACATGCTGTGAGTAGTGTACACTATTCTGAGTTTGAGCTTTGAACCTTGGCTAAGGTCAAGTGTATAATGGACAAAAGTTTAGTCTTCTTTCATGCACGACCAGTTATGTAGTCAGCTATATTTGAGTGTTTGGACTTAGTGACTTTAAAACAGTTTGTTCCAGCACCAGAGGGTCCTTGGTGTTCTTGCTTGTCTTTAGAGTGCTCGCTTCATTGCGGCAGTAACTGTTCACATGGTTTCTTGTAACACATTCCTAGAGGCATCTTAACAGCTCCCCAGACTACCATGGTAGGTCATAGTCTTCCTTGGGTTTCCTTCACTGTAGAGTTTGGCTGGAGATGTGCAGCTCCTTTATCCTGGAGTTCTCTGAGATCCGTAGTTCTTCAGACAGGTTCTCCTCCGAGGACCAAGGAAGTTGCATTCAGCTTGTCTTTGACATGAGCTCCAGCCCCAGCCATCCCTGCACACATGCCTCATCCTTCCCAGACGTTGGCACCTCCTAGGCCAGTCTTTCTATCCCGATCTACTCGGGCGTCTGGATGAGGGTGTGGTTGACGAGATGTAGATGCCGCACGTTCTCCACCAGTTACTCTTGAGTTGCGCCGCTGCAGGTCTGCGTGCACCAGGAAGTTGCCAACCTCCTTGGTGCTCTGGTGGGAACTGTAGGTGTGATGACCAGGAGCCGGCCTTGCTGGTGGCTTCCACCAGCACAGTCTTACAGAAGCTTGCACCTTGTTTTGTTTTGTTTCGCTTCGCTTCGCTTCTTGAGTCAAGGTCTGGTTGTGTAGTTAAGGCTGGTCTTGAACTCTGTGTAGCTCAGGTTGCTCTTGAATTCTTAGTAATCCTCCTGCCTCGGCCTCCTAAGTCCTGGGATTACAGGCCTGTGTCACCATACCCAGCTATTGTTTTAACTTTTTGAGACAAATACACACTGTACAATTCAGACTGGTCTAGAACTTACTATGTAGTGCAGCCTGGCCTCCAACTTGCAGGGATCCTCCTGCCTCAGCCTCCCGAGTACTGGCATTACAGGTGTGTACCACCATTCCTGGCTCCGTCCTACAGCTGATAACATCTTCCTCCACCCAAGCTGGCTCAGAAGTGTCTGCCTCATCTGCCCACTCTTGTCACTGACATTTGCACCTCTATGGAAAGAACCACCCCCACCAAGAAGGGTCCTCTGGGTGTGCTGTCTATGTGTCCCATGAAGACAGCCCTGTCCCTGCCATTACCCATGCCCATTTGGATGCAGCTGCTGCCAGGTCCATTCTGTGGCAGCACTAGCATTTATCAAGCTATGGATGCTCTGACCCTGGTTCTTAAATCATGGAGCCCAACACTACGCACCCACGTGTGCAGAGGATCTCAGGGCCATGCACCCCCAGGACAGCACCGCCATCCTGGCCTCAGAGGCATTTCCTGTGCACCGTACTTCTCAGCTCAGCCTCAAACACTGGGATCCTCCCAGGCCGTGTGGGGAGGCAGCACCTCTGAGAGGCCCATCAGAGGATCCTTGCTGCGCCCCAGGACCTGGCACTGCTGGCATGGACCCGTGGGCAGAGCTGCTAGGCTGGCTGAAGGCATGGGGAATAAAGATGGCAGCCAGATGATCATACCAGTGAAAAACTGATCTGGTCCATGAGTGTGTCAGACTGAAAGGTTAGCTGGTTGATCTATAGTTTTAACTCGGCACTCTTAGACCCATGGGAATCCTAACGGACATCGTCTTATCCACCCTACCCAAGGCAACCACAGAGTCACTGGGTACTCTGGGTCTCCCCGTGTTATTTCAGCTCTTGTCCTCCAGTCAGTAGCAAACAAGTTAGTATCTTTTAATACAATAGTGTGATTTACAGGGCCAGGGATTTAGCTCAGTGGCACAGTACATTCCTGGCAAACATGAAGTCCTGAGTTTGAATCATAGTACTGAGAGGCCTGGATTTAATGCTCAGCCTCTACCACCATAACAGTGTGACTACAGCCTTGAGTAGGAACCCACCCTGAATCTCCAGTGGCATTGCTCCAATTATGGGTTTTCTGTTCCCAACAAAACAACTGGCTGAGCTGT